AACCAAAAATTACAACACAACAAAAGGACAAGAAAAAAAAAATTTTGTCATTCCAAAGTAAAAAAAATCAAACAAATAACTAAATAAAAAAAAAGTCCCAAGCTAAAAAAGTAAAAAAACCAAAAAATAAACTAAAAAAGTCATTGCCAAACGACCCCTAATTGTTAGTTGCATTTGAAAATTGGCTATTTTAATTAATTTTTTATAAAAAAAAATATAGAAAAAATAAAGAGAATAATATAACAACTTGTAATAATTTTTTAACTTTTAGCTAAAAACCAAAATCCCCAAATGGGACTTTAGTACTTTGTTTAAATTCCCAACCAACAGCGCTATATATATTTGAGGTTCTCTGTAAGCAAATCAGCAATTATGTTTTTTGACTCATTCAATTATGTTTGTCAACACTTTTTGTTGCACCACATTCTTAATAATGAGAGTTTGTGAAGAATAAGGTATTGGAGACAAAACATATAACAGAGACGAAAGAGGAAAAAAGAAGACGACAGAATGTTGAAATCAAATCTAAATATTTTTTCTTTTTTGGAAGCCAAATTGAGTTTATTTATAAAGTTAGAAAATCTTAACAACGTATATATAGGAACCTTTAGACTGTTCATACTTAACAACTTTAAATGACAAAGAAATAAGTAACTTGAAATGTGCATATTTGAACGCAAATGAACTTGGACTACTTAAGAATCAAGATGTACTAAACATTAAAGGTCGTGGAGGAATTGAAACTTCAAGCACTCCCTCCAACATTTGTGTGATCTTTCTCATTGAAGGCCTGATTGAAGGATCCTCTTGAGTGCACCAAATCGCAAACATCACTAGTCTCTCTATCTTAATGTCACTCCTTGCTTCCTCATCATTTTTGACCAACTTGTCCAGCTTTCTTTGCACTAACAATCATAGGGCCAATCTACCAATGCCTGCTCCTGATTCACAATGCCAAATTAAACACTTGACTTGCAACAAATGATCTCAAGTAAAAACATCCCCAAACTGTAAACATCTACCTTAACCGTGATGGAAGCTTTCCTAAACCATTCAGGAGCAAAGTACCCAATTGTCCCTCTTATGCCTGTGCGTGCAGTTCGAGTTTGTTCAGCTAGCAAAAGCTTTGCCAATCCGAAGTCTAATATCCTGGGTGTGAAGTACTCGTCCAATAGTATGTTTTGAGCCTTTATATTGCAATGGATGATTTGGGTGCTGCATTCTTCATGTAAGTACATTAGCCCCCTTGCAATTCCAAATCCAATCGGTACTCTTTGGTTCCAATTGGGCCTAGAGACCCCAAACAGAAGGCTTGCCAAGGAGCCGTTGCTCATGTATTCATATACCCATAGCTGGTGCTCTCCCTCATCGCAATAACCAAGCAATCAGACTAAATTTTTATGGTGAGTTTGGCAATTACACTTACTTCTGTTTTGAATTCTTTCTCTTCTTCTTGTACCACCTTATCTAACTTTTTGACCATGGAAAACCTTCTATGATCTGATGGTAAGACCCTTTTATAAACTGTGCCAAAAGCACCGCTTCCTAGTTTCTGTTTGAAGCCACGGGTTGCTTCTTCAAGCTATTTGTATCTGTTAGAATGGTAGAGAGAGAAAATAATACGTATTGTATTGAATGAATTATATTGAATGATAGAAGGCCTGTATATATAGGCTGAGAAAGAGTATCCTACTAGAAATCTAACTATCAGAAAGAGTATCCTATAAAAGACCTAACTATGGCAATACCAAATATATCTAGGAAATCAATACCTAATATATATAGGAATATATACCATATATACATTAACATCCTCCCTCAAACTCAAGGAGGATAAACATTTTGAGTTTGGAGAGAGAAGCTAAAACATGAAATAAAACTAAATAAATTAAAAGGCAAATAAGTTTCAAAATCTGAATAGGAGCGCAAGGGCACTTGAAATAGATCAGAGGTTAGAACTAAAGCTAGGAGACAGTTTATGGTCGTGTTGGACCATTATAGGAACTGGCTGAAACTAGATTAGAGGCCGGAACTAAAGCTGGGAGACAGCTTATGGTTGTGTTGGACCATTGTAGGAACTAACTGAAACTAATGCCAAGACAATTTAAGGTCGTGCCGAACCAATGTAGAAACTGGCTGGAATTAATGCTAAAAGACAGTTTATGGTTGTGTCAGACCATTGTAGGAACTAGCTGAAACTAATGCCATGACAGTTTAAAGAGGTCATGTCGGACCGTTGTGGAGATTGGTTAACCAAAATCAATGTCGGGACAGTTTGAAGGGGTCATACCAGACCGATGTAGGAGCTAACTAGAATCAATGTCGGGACAGTTTAAAGGGGTCATGCCGAACAGATATAGGAGCTAACCAGAACAATGTCGGGACAGTTTGAAGGGGTCATGTCGGATCGATGTAGGAGCTAACTGGAATCAATGTCGGGACAGTTTAAAGGGGTCATATCAGACCAATGTAGAGAACTGGATGTTGAACCGGCAAACGTAGTACACACATAACTTATGACGTGGTATTGAACAATGATGGCAAACAGATGATGACTGAGTGCATCAGGGGGCGACTTGGATTGTGTGCCAAAAGGGCTGGCTTGGGTTGTGCGCCAGAAAAGGGCAGCTTGGATTGTGCGCCAGAGGGGGTGGCTTGGGTGGTTCGCATAGTGTATAACCATGCTCACCATGATATAGGTATAATATCTCCCCTTAAACTTAAATAAGTTTGAAGATAGAACCCGATTTGAGGTTGAAGTAGAGAGAAAGATAGAGTGGAGGGGGAAAAAAAATGTATTACGAGTAAAAAGATAAAAATAAAAATAAAAAAATATGATAGAGATATTTGGGGTAAGAATAAATCAACGGAAAGAGGAAGAGATCACCACGAAGCGATACTGAAAAGAAAACATGATAGCGGAATAGGTTGAGGTCCGGCGGCGGCCAAGACGAGGTTCCCGCTCGCCGGTGAAGCGAAATTACAAGGTTGTTAACCTAGCTCTAATACCATGTTAAAATAGTAGAGAGAGGCACTCAATGTCTTTCTTTGAAAAAGAACCATCTTTTGATTTGTCACGGCTTTGATCACGACCATGAGGAGTCTTACTCCTCCCCCTTGATTTGCTTCGGCCTCTCACAACAAATGCTTCTGAATGAGAGGAACCCGCTGATTTTCTTCTTGTTTCTTCATTCAACAGGCTACTAGTGACTTGGCCCATTGTGACAACTCCATCGGGTGCCGAATTACTGACGGTCACAACCAAAGTCTCCCAACTTTCGGGCAAAGAACTAAGTAGCATCAAAGCCTGCAACTCATCATCAAAACCAATTTTCATAGAGGCAAGTTGGTTAACAATACTCTTTATTTCATTCAGATGTTCCGAAATAGGGCTGTCCTCTTTATATTTTAAATTAACCAACTTACGAAATAGAAAAGCTTTATTTGTGGCTGATTTTCTTTCATAAAGACTTTCTAATTTTTTCCATAAATCATGTGCTGAAGTTTCAGTAGCAACATGATGAAACACACTGTCATCAATCTATTAACGGATAACCCCAACGGCTTTTCAATTAAGCCTATTTCATTCATCATCTTTCATACCCTCGGGTTTGCCACTATCACACTCAATGGGTCCATACAAATCTTTACAAAATAATAGGTCCTCCATTTTAGTTTTCTAAGTTACCCAATTGCTTCCATTGAAGCTAGACATACGACCCACATTCCCCTCCATTAATTTACACAAATAAATAAACCCAAATAAACCATAAGCTCTTATACCCTTAGGTGAATTCCAAATGATTTGGGTGCTGCACTCTTCATGTAAGTACATTGCCCTCTTGCAATTCCAAATGCAATTTGTATTCTTTGGTTCCAATAGGGCCTGGAGATCCCGAACAGAAGGCTTGCTAAGGAGCCGTTGCTCATGTATTCATATACCAAAAGCCAGTGCTCCCCTTCATCGCAATAACCAAGCAATCGGACTAAATTCTTGTGGTGAGTCTGGCCGATCACACTTACTTCTGTTTTGAATTCTCTCTCTCCTTCTTGTACCACTTTGTCCAACTTCTTGACCGCAACAAACCTCCTATGATCTGATGGTAAGACCCCTTTATAGACTCTGCCAAAAGCACCGTGTCCCAGTTTCTGTTTAAAGCCGCCGGTTGCTTCTTCAAGCTCTTGGTATCCATAGCTTGTCACATTCATTGCAGAAGTGTTTGACCTTGACTGCATATTTAGCAATGTCTTCCGATATGAGATGAAAGCACAAACTGAAATGCCTAACAGCAGAAGGAAATTGAAAAATAAAGAGCTGCCAAGGATTATTGATCCAACGAGGATCAAGGTGGAATTATCTTTCTTACTTGGATATCCCTTAGGTACTTTTATCAGAGCGGTTTTATTTAAACTAATGGTTTTTCTTCCATTGGAAAGAGGAAACTTCTTCAACAAACAACAATTCCCACCATAAATTGCAGCAGCACAGAAGCAATTGTATCTGCAATATTCGATGCAACTCTCCTTGTTTCCTGCTGTCTGTAGTTCATAATCTGCTAATGGCCAGTCTGTATCATTTCATTCCTTAAAATCTATCATCTCTGGCTTTGTCTCCCATCCATCTTCTTGGCAACTAGGTACTGGAAAATTAGGTTTGCAGCCTTTTTGGATGCAAAATGGATCCACGAGTGAATACCCATCTGGGCATAAACATGTGGGCTTGCTATCAATGTTAACACAATAGCTATTGTATCCACACGCGCCACTGCCGAGACTCCCTGTGAATTAAGCAGACATCATCGGGAATGTGTAGTACTGCTGACCAAGACAAGCTGCAATCACTTTGGGCTCCGGTCCATCTTGGGTGATTATATAGTCTGAAGACTCCGTCATTGTCGATCCTTGCCATGTGAAAGGAATTTTGTTTTAAACCCGTCTTGTCTATTGTAAAGTTGTATACATTTCGAGTCCCTTCTTTCACATAAATGTATTCACCACTCTCAGCAAAAGATCAATTGAGCTTTGGAATTAGCTTGCAAAGTTCCACTAGCCCAATAAGCCCCGTTCTTGTCTCCGGTTGGCATCGATACAGTGTACATCACAAGATTGCCATCGCCCTGCATATGAAGCAGGAATCGTCCATCAGTGTAATTTGTCTCTGACAAGCGAGACCAAAGCTTCCCTTCGTTGGCCAATTTTTGTCCTGGCAAGATTGTGTCACGTTGGTCTTGGAAACTCTCCCATATAATAGAATCTTCGTTTAGAACTACAAAGTTCCCCGTATCAAGCATAGCAGCACAATTGGATTTCGATCCTGCAACGTTGGTTGTAGCGTTCCATATGACGTTGTCTTCGGGGTCAAAGAGTTGAAGCCCCCCATCTTTGGTCAGTTTAACTATTGATCCTTCCCTTGTTGGAACACCATCATTAGCTGACCAAACTATAGTCTTATTTGGTATTTTGTCGAACCATATGGCTAGCAGGAACAACATATTTCCATCGTTAGATTTTTCGACTCGTTGAAATCCAAAGGCAAAATCACTAGATTGTGAAGGCCAATTAATGTCATTTCCTACTGACAAATTTTTGCCCAATTCAACATTACAGTTAGATTTGTTGATGGCAAAAACAACTGGAAAGAGAGGAAAAAGAAGTAAAAGAGAGTAAAGTTGTAAAAGAGCTGAAGAAGCCATTGCTGGTGTTGTCTTAGCCTTCATGTGAGAACTTATAATAACATTCTTCAATCGTATTTTTTTTTTTTTTTAATTCTTTTCTTTGTGTGGACTTTTCGCTGTGGACATTTTCCATCCATTTTCATGACTACTTTGAGCAATTCTCAATAGAAATTTCACTTTGATCTATTCTCATGACTACTATTAGTTATTTGACTTACAACCAAAAGGGAAGTACTAAAAAACTCATCTTTCATATGAAATTTATTTTTGAAGAATAATATTTTTCAAAACAATGAATTTCACCGTTCTGGAAAAATGATTTTGAAATTCTTCTGCAACCCTATTTATGTATTTGTCTTTTTGAAAAAAAATCTCTTTTTACACTTTATTTGTTTGGGCCAAAAATATTTTCTAGAAAATGCTTTTCACATTTTCTAGAGTTAAGTATATCGGAAAATAAAAATCAATGGAAACCGTTTTCAACAGTTAACAGAAAATATTTTCCATGATCAACGGAAAACAAAGATATTTGGATTAAATATATTATTCACTTTTAAAAAGTAAAAAATATTTTTCGAATGTCAGCACATTACCACCACTATCATTACCTTCACCACACCCACAACCACGACCGCCGCCATTGCCGCCGCCTCCACCACCACCACTTCCACTGTGCCGCTGCCACTACTACCATCACTAATGCAACAATTAATACATTAATTTTAAAAATGCAACAGAGCATAGGGAAACATTTTTTATGAAAAATATTTTTTGAAAAAGAATTTCTGCCAAAATAAATGGAGGCTAAGTGGGATCTTAATGTTTATTTCAAGATTTCCATTGCTTGTTTTCTTAGCAGCAAGTTTTTTTTTCTTTTGACAATCTCACAAATTTATTTTATTTTTCAAATTTAAATTTATACCATATATTTAAATTTTAAATATTTTTTAAATAAAAATTTTAAGTAGATAACATTTATGTTGTTGGGCGAAAAAAAAAAGAAGAGAAAACATTGTGTTTGATTTTAATTTTTTGAATTTAATTTTTTTTAAATTGAGTTTTTTATTCTTCGTATTTTTTTGTTTTTAGTTAATATTTTTAAAATTTTAAATAACTTTTTTTACTTTTTTAGATGCATGTATCTAAATAGTAAAATATTTGTGAAAAAATATTTTAAAAAATTAATAAATACACAAAAATATGAAAAATATACTGAATTTTTATATTTTTTTTGTATTTTTGGTATTTAATGAATTTTACTATATACATATATCTGTATTTGGTGAATTTAAAAAAAAATCACAAATATTATACTTTTTAAGTATATTTATGTTAGGTATGTATAAAAATTTTAAAAATTAATTAACATATTAAAAAAATTCAGTGAATATAAAAAAATAGAAAAACGAAAAAATAAAATTTTCTGAAAACTAAATTCTAGAAATGAAAACCAAACCAGAAATGGATTTGGTGGTTTTGTGCACTTTGCTGACTTTCTGATGCCTCTTCGCACGTTGCATTTGTTGTTGTTTGCCTTTGATAACGCGGTATTTGAGCAGAGACGGCACTTTTCTAGTTTAAAATTTCACTGGTGGTTGCTTGACCCGCTTCCAGCATTCACACTCTGAAAATTAATTTGTCCACGAGTGTTTGATTTAAAACAGTGAGTCCTATATATTACACTATCCTCATCACATCCAAAATTGTAGGTTGCGTTTGGTTGTGTTTTGTAAATGTGATTTGAGAGTATGAGTTGTATTTTGAGTTTGTGTGTTGTAGAATTATGATTTGAGACAGCCGTAAATTTTATGTTGCGCTTGAATTATAAATTTAGATAGAAAATTTAAAATAATAATAATAATAAGTAAAATATGAATAAAATATAGATATATTTTACATATCTTTTCTCTTTTTAATAATTTTTTTTTTATTTGAACTCATGATCTAAATACAATCTTATTGCACTACTGGAAAATTCACTTTTAGCGGCGTTTAAAAAACGCCGCTAAAAGTACTAAAAACGTCGCTAATTCTTTTTATGACGTTTAATACCAAACGCCGATGACGCGGCCGTCGCTATAACTTTATGACGTTTGAAAAACGTCGTTATATTTTAGTATAGGCGGCGTTAAAACGCCGCCAAATATCCTACCTAACTGTACTATGACGTCACAAAAGAACCAATATTACCTGGCTGCTATAATCTCTTCATGATTTTGAAGAACCAAACTGTGTTTGTTGATTTTGAAGTTTTAGATCAGTGTCATATCAATTTACAAAATTGGCTTTACTACTTAATATAGGGAAGACAATTTTTTTTTTTTTTTTGGGAGGGTTCTTGCTTGGCTTTATGTTTATGGATCTATACACAAAAGAACATGAAAAATCTCATAGAACTCATTTATTCAAATCTTTAAGCATAAATACTAGTATGGTTTTAAGTAGTTTTAATGGGCATTGAAAGACCTCATAGGAAGATGTAGCAAGATTTAGATTTCACGGTAGCCACCTCAAACCCACAGATCTGCTTCATAAATCCACCACCGTTGTAGCCTCAAATCCACCAAATCTGCTCAGTAAACCCACGACTGCTGCCTCGAATCCATTTGGGTTTGATTTCAAAAATCAATTATAGTTAGATAAAGAAATGGGGTTTTATTGGAGAGAGAGAGAAGTAGCAACCATAGGTACTGCTTGCTGTTGCTGCAAAGGTGAAAAAAATAGAGGGAGAGAGCTTCTTGTAGCCATGAGAAATGGAGGAGGAAGATGAAAAAAATAAGAAAAGAAAAGGAAAGAAAAAAAGAAAAAGAACAAAAAACCTAGAGAATCCCAGCATGTGGAGAGGAAGGCACATCACCGAGGATGTGAATTGCAAAGGTAGACATAGCCATACTTGGTTTAACACAATGGAGACATACGTAATTCACCGAACCCTGCAACAATGAATGTATAGAATGTTATTACTAAGTTTAACCAAACTTTTCAGTCGTTAACATAATGGGGAAAAAAATCAATAATACAAATCTTATTTCCATTAGATGTAGGGTGCACTACATCTAATAATACAAATCTTATTTCCAATATCAAAGAACAACCCTGCACTTCAAAAAAAAAAAGGTGATTAGTAAATGAAACAGAATTACCTTATGGAAAAAAACAGAGATCTTCAGCCATTAAAAAAAGGGAGGAAAAGAGCTTTTTATGCAGAGCTCAAATTCTTACCTACTCCAATCCCAAAAATAAGATAAAATAAATTAACAAAAACTAGATGCAGAACTTTCATTTGTGAAGAAAAAGATGTCAAAAATGTGCAGCCACCAATTTTTCTATAGGATTAAACAATTACTATTTACAAACCCATGAGGCCTATGCTATCTCCTCCATAGACCTCATCAATGTTCCTTGAAACCTTCAAGAGACCAAAGTCAAATTAGGCAAAAAACATTTTGTAACAAAGTCTATGCAAGAAAATAGATAAATCCATTTGAAATAAATAGACCATAAAAATCGAAGAAAAACAAGGCCATTAAAGTTTCATGAAAACAATACCAATTCCTTGCTAAGTTCGACATCAGCTGGGTAGCTGCTCTGCTTGCCGTGGCTGCTCCCACAAAAGACACAAATACTCTTGAACACACAAAGATATATACACACATAGCTAATACACACAAACTTAACTTAACAAGATATCATAACATTAAAAACAAAACTTAACTTACATCATTTCTTATTGCACTTTGTATATTGTTCATGTTGGATATGATGTACAAAAAATTCACACCAATTTATATTTATGTTATGTGATTTGTCTAAATAAGCATAAACTGTTATTAACTCATTGCCTGTAGTGTATATTAACCATAACCTGATAGGTGTCGTTCCAATGAAGACTCAAAATTTAAAAAGACTAGTCCCTATAAATTAAACTATGTACAAAAAGCATACACCATAAAATAAAAGCAAATATAGATGAGGGAAAAGGGGTATATGAAGATGGATACCATACATAAAGATGAACAGCTGGAACAAAGAAAAATCATAAAGGTAAAGGCCCCTGTTTCACAAAGAATAAATTCTGCATCCACTAATAGCAAAAACACAGAATGAGCAATATAAACTGCTATGAAAATCTGTCTACATTGTTTTGGTCAAGAATAGGAAGCCTTGCAATATAAACTTAGAGCAAACATCAAAGGTAGTTAAAGTTGAACAATGCTAAAATGCTAATATTGTATCAACAAATTCATGAGGAAGCAATCACTCAAGTTCAACATCATAGCATTACAGATTGAATTCACGATGTGATAACTATAAATTCATATTCGAATGAACACATGGATTCAAATTCAAATCTCTCACAACAAATTTATAATTAAATATGAACTTCATGAGCAGAGAGAGAATTTACTACATTAAATCGCAAGTCGCAAGTTAGGCAAGAGGAGAGTTGATCCAAACCCTAGGGAGGGATTCAAGATTGGTAAACCTAGGAGAAGAATGACCGAGAAGAAAGAGGAGAGAGAGAGAGAGAGAGAGAGAGAGAGAGAAAGAACATGATAAAGCTGAGATTGGATTGAAAATCGAATTTGTGCAGATGAGTAGAATAGACATGCAGATGGTGGTGGCGGTGGCGGTGGAGCTTCGAAATCAAAAATCATTCTGAGATTGGAGATGACCGAATGATGAATCATCGAGCTGAAGAAGGTTGAAATCGAGTTGAGGAAGCGAGACCTAGAGAAGGACTAGAGAGAGAGAGACAGAAGTGAGTCAGATTTGAGTGGGATGCGTTCTATGGAGCTGCAGAGTTTTTCAGGATTTGAAATAAGTGTTGCGGGTGCGGCAGAGATTTGAGCGGTGCAGTTGAGCTTCTAAATACATTCAAGCGGCTTTTTTAAAAACGATTTCTCGTCTTTATTACTAAAACGGTGCACGTTTTAATTAAAAAAAATGCGACTGACAAAACGTTTAAATATATAATAGTGGCGTTTTAAAAAACGCCGGTTAATAAAACCGCCGTTAAATTCATATACTTTCCTGTAGTGTTTTTTGAATGAAATCTGAACGGCAATCTATATAAGACGTACGTTTCCTTTTGTTTCAAGACAAATCTGCACCTTGCAGAATAGCCCCCACGTCCCATACCATCATGCCAGACAATTAGTTTTTGATCAAAAATTAATTTCAACGGGATCCGAATTTTTATTTTAGCTTCTATTCCCGGAGCGTAGCTTATGCGTAGAAGGAATACACACAATTTAGAAAAAACTCTTGTGTTGACACGGAATGAAAAGCTGCTTATGACGCCTGATAAAGAAGCTTGAAAATGCTTTAATTTCTTGGACACAGCGAAGGATGTCGCAGCAGAATGGAGTAACACGTAGGTGCACTCACGGAATTACAATGACAGACGTACATATCTGGAAAAGTGGGGAGCGTAAGCTTGTAGACGTTCGCATTATACAGGGTAGTAGGTGCTCGTCATAATACCAGGATCGGCTGTGGATGGATTAACATTTATTAGGGACACATAGCAGTGTTGAAACATTTATGAGGAAAACGTAACAGTAACTTGTGAAGTTTTAGTCTTGCTTTTAAAAAAAACAATTTAAAAAAAAGAAGGTGAATCATAAATTGTTTTTCTGTCGACTATAACACATCGCTAGTCTAATTGATTGTGGACTGTTAATTATGGCCAAATCTAGTTTTATTAAAGGGAAATTTAAATCAAAACGCCTGCCATTCGACCATGTTTGGAGAAAATGACGTCCAATTTATTTGGACTTAATTAAACTCCCTAAGGAGGAGAACGGCATCATTGAGTAAGGAACAAAGTAAATTTTTTTTTTCTTAGACAAATATTGACCACTGTTTGGGTAGGGTTATTTCCAGTTTATTTTCCAGCTTTTAGTTTAATTTAAGTTATCTTTGATGTGTTTGGTTCAAACTTAACAATACAGCTTATAGCTTTTTTAAGTCAAAAATCACGTTATTCTTTGGTGGG